CCCCCCCGGGCTGCGGGCGGCCGGCCCCACGTGCGCTCCCCCTCCGGCCGGGCGCCCCTGCCCCGCGCCGGGCCCGGGCGCTCCCGGGGGAGGCGGGCGAGCGGGGCCGCCCCGCCGCGGCCTCCCCTCCGGGCTCGCCCCGCACCTCCGGGCCGCCGCCTGTCCCTGCGGGGGGCAAGGCCCGCGGCTGCTTTTTTCGGGCCTGGCGGAGGGAAGCGCGGCTAGGCCGCGCATCCCCGGCCTCTAGTGGGAGCCCAGGCCGGCCCACAGGAGCCCTAGGCGGGGAAGGAGGAAGAGGCGTGAGGGAGGTGCCTGGGTGTGCAAGGCCGCCGCTTTCCAGCGGCCGGGGTGGGAGTGGCGCGTGTGTGGGCCCCCCTCAAATACGTGGGGCCGGGTGAGACCCCCCAGCCCTGAGGCTTGGCCTCTCCTCGGCGAGGGCATGGCGGTGCTGCTGCCCGTCAGCCATTTCTTGAGGCACTTGGGATAGGGCTGGCTTTTTCCTCTCAGCGTTTTCCTGAGGGACCAGGGAAAGGGGGGTTAATTTAATTAAGCCCTCCCCAACAACAGTGTGTGGACAGGACAGAGAAAAAAATTACTGTGAAGGGTTTTTTTCGGGGGGGGGTCTTAATTGTTTATCTGTCTCCAAAACCAGAAATAAAAGGATTGGAGAAATGTTGCCCTCTTAGTTTGATCCTATAGTGGAGGGCACTTGCAAGGTATAGATCCCCTGCTTCACCCCACAGGACTGAAAAGAGGCCTTTGCCCCTTCTTTCCTGGCCCCAGAAAGCTTTGGGGCCTGCTGCCCCCTCAGTCATCTTTAAGAGCCTTAATCATCCCATGTGTGTTGCTGTTTCCTTTTCTGCCCCTTTGCGGAAGGATTTTCAGGGAGCCGTTGCCTTGTACATGGCTACTTGAGGCTAGGATAGAGCCTTGTGGCTGCTGGGTGGTATGAAAATAATAAATAAATAAACAGGAAAGATGAAAAAGCTAGTCTTTGCTTTGCTTGTAGGACTTGGGAGCCGTTTGGCCATTTCCTACCTGGCTTCTGGAGGGCATGGGGTAGTTAGTTGCCTTAGTCTTTTCTGGAAAAGGGTATGTGGACATTAGGTTGCTCTGTTAACTTCCCCAGGGTAACGTGGGTCAAAAAACGCCCCTGATTCCCCAATGCAAAAAGACTGAGACAGACTTCTTATTTGAGTCCTCAGTTTTGGGGGCTGCAGATAGATAAAGCACACTTGTAAGTTGCTGCATAGCTGGTCACCTATGGTGAGCAAGGATCACCTTTGCCAATGCAAACAAGCAGAAAACTTTTATTTATTTCATATCTGTGTCGCCCAATTGCCAAAGCAGTCTGGGCAGTGTACAATGAAAAGTTGCCTTCTTTAGACTGCAAATAGCTGACATAGGTATTTTTGGCCAGGCAGGTTAGTAAAAATAATATTTGTGGATTGCTGACACTGGGCATGCGTGAAGCTGTAGGAACAGTTGCCCTGGCAGCTGCTTCAACTTTTTTCTCAAGTGGCACATCAGGGGGAGAACGAGAGGCAAGGGGCATTTACACAACTAAGGCTACAATCCCAAACAAATGTACTAAACTCAATCCCAAACTCAATCCCACTGAACACTTAGCAGCTCTTCTCAATTATTATTATTATTAGTGCGATGCATTTATATCCTCCCCTTTTTCCTCTTGAGAGGAACCCAAGCTGACCTACTTAGTCTTATTTTATCCTCCCAACAACAACCCTGTGAGGTAGGCTGAGCTGAGTGAGGAACTGGCTAAGTGGGGACTAGAATCTGGATCTCCTGGGTTCTTTAACCACCACATTGCTTAGGACTGTTTTGTGATTCTAAAATTTTATGTAGACAAGTTTCCACACTTGAACGCTTTATGTTAAAGAACCTAGAATAGTTGGGGAAGGGGAGTTGGCACATTCTTTCCCTGAAATGGGTCTAAAAAGAGTGTGGAAAAAAATTAAAAGAGAAACTGTCATAAAGGAAAAAGAGCAAGCAACACCAGCAGTTACATGCCTCACCTAAACTCTATTTATCCCTAGTGTGCTTTGGCATGGACTGATTTGACCTGCTGCCTGAAAATGTCTAGCACAGGAGCAAGCCATGTTGGAGTGAGTTGGAAAATCTCAGAGCCACACCTAGGAAGACCCTGTTTCTTAACGCCATCTTTGTCCCTTCATTGAGTCTCAGTATGCTTGGCATCTTACTGGATTGTGACTAAAGCCTGAAGAGCTTCCAGTGTAGCATTTGCCACAGAAGAGGCAATAGAGGGTGGGGAAGAAGATGACTGGAAGAACATAGTGTTCTGTGCAGTATCGAGTTAACCTGTCGCCTCTTGTTTCTCTTGTGAGGAACCGAAGCTGACCAGTTTTTCTCATTAATTTGCATTGGAAAGAGTGGTGGGAAAATCTTCTTTTAGACCACTCTTTAACTAGTCTTCCTGGAAATTGAGCTAAAATTTTAAAGGGATTGTTGTCTTGGGACATGATTTCGATTGCTTGCCCTGAGCACTCTGTGGGGCACACCTTTCTGTCTTGATAAAACATTTGGAGTAATTCGACTTGCTGTGTAAGGTATGCAGGTATTGGAGGATAGGAAAGGCTTTATCGTAAAGCTATACCCATGCTCCAAATGTGGAAGAAAAAGTTGCTGAGATAATGTGCACTGAGCTGACAACAGTTTGTTTTTATTTTTGGTCAGTAATTTTCACTAAATATACATATGTGACCAGTGGTGATGTTTTCATCTTCTGGAGAAGGTGTTTGAGTAATTTGGACCCTCCTTGCTTCCCTTCTCTGAGCTGTATATCTAACCCAAAGGCATTTGTTTTGAATACTATTTTATTTTTATAGCACAGCTTTCATGTCGAAGGATCCCAGTGGACCTCCTAAACCTAATACGTCCAGCATCCCTGAAATGCAGTCACCTCTGAGGTGGAAAGGGGCAGACAACTGGTGTATCTTTCCCCAGAATATGGATGGGTCTGAAGAGGTAGAAAGGTAAAATTTTGGTCAAGGACAATAGGGTGAACCTTTGTTTTTGCAAAGTACTATGTCTTTGGATTCCTATGCAAATTCCTATTGTCTTCCATGACTTCTCAAATTAGTGCCATGTGAAACACTTTCAAATGTGAATTCAGCTTCTATTTTACTAACCAGCCACATTTTGGTTTTCCTACTAATGCAGAATACTTTTACAAATGTTCTTAGCAGGTAATTCCAATTGTTGAAACAGGAAGTAGGGCTCACAGCCTCTTAGTTTTGGATCATAATTATTATTGGTAAACAGTTGTACCAGCTTCTATTCTTTTAGACTGCTTTAAAAATACAACCTTTTAGAAGCTTGGTGGCAAAATCTGTTGGGCTTTTATTCAGGGATTATTTTTATACCTTTTCACTCTGTAAGAGTTTGAAATACCTGAAAATATGAATTGTATTCCAAAGCTATGTAATAGAAAATATTTTATGGCTTCTTGCATGTTTTCTGTGTTCATTTCTTTTGTAGTTATATAGCATCTAGCATTATGTGAAATCAAATACTGGATTTTCCTGCCTAAGCTAGGTGAAAAAGAATGTGCTTTATAGAGCTGTCCTTCCTCAGAGTTCAGTTCTGCCTTATATTAATAGACATTTGAATTATATCTTGTATAATAACCTTCTTCCATTCTCCCTGAAAGTGATATAAAATGTTTCAAATGTGCTGTAGTGACATTTCTAAAATCAAATGGAAAGGATGGCTGACTATCTCAGTGGAGAGGAGGGGCCATGGAGCAGTTTGAAAATAAACCGTCATGGCTACCAGACGTTTTTTGCCTGCTGGAGAAGATAGCTTCCAACAAACATGGTTCCTGAAATAGGGCAGACAACTTCTCCTTAGAGTAGGAACAAGCTTTTCTTTATTTCAATGAGAAAGGTGGTATAATGCTTGTTAACTTTCCCTGTTTAATAAGTGCAGGCAGCTGGAATTGTATGTATAAAATAATCCTTTGAAAAATTATAGAAATGGCTCACTGACTTGCTCATTTAACCAGAATTTGGCTTATCAGTCACCCTGTATGCAGGGTCCTTCCCCCCATGTAATTATGAAAAAGAAAAGTATGGTTTAAACTAGATGTTTGAGGTAGATGCAGTATTTTATAAATTAACAAGAACAACTGTGTCAGTCATTTTTGTATAAAAGTGGAAGAAATGTTTCAGTTACTGTGCTAGAGCAGAAACTGTTAAACTTACATGTTCCGCAGTGTATAAAACTGAGCTGCTTTTTTTTTTTTTTTTGGGTATGGAAAGGATGTTTCTGTCTTTTAAAAAATCTGTTATTAAATGTGATTGTTCTAAAATGGAAGGTGACACAAGAGGACCCTTTCAACAAAGAGGTGTAAGAATCTGCATTAAATTATTAGTAATCTAACTCACAGCATCTCTTTGTAAATGCTGGGATGTTTTTCATACCCACCTTTTTCGGTTTGGCAGCCCCTTCTCCCCCCCCCCACACACACACTTCATTTATATTCCAGAATATGTACCTTCTGCTTCTTCTGTATTTTGCAATTTTCAGAATGAGTTCAAATTTCAGCTCAGCCTATGAGTAGGAGGTCATGGCCAGTTTCTGCCAAATATGCCAGGATTCATGAACCAAGGATAAACTCTGGGTTATGATCCTGGCTTGTAAAAGTTGCTGGTCATGGCTAACAGGAGGAGCCAGGCTAGAGTGTGGAGCCTGCATGCACAGACACGCAGCTCATTCAAGATAAGGGGTATGTTGCTGTAGCCAAGAGCATTAGTGCGGACAGTTTGAGGTGACTTGTTTATTTAGAAAATTCATATGCCACCTATCCTGCAAGCTAAAAGTATCATAGAATATAATGTTGCAGAATAGAAAGTAGCAGCTGAGACATTGGAATGCAAGTTATAAAAGGGAGCACATGAATTCGTTATGTAATTCAGCCACCCAGAAAGCCAGCTTCAGAACCCACCCCAAGCAGAAATCAACCAACAAAATTGTCCTCCCTTGATAGAAAGACTTGGGTAAAACAAAGGTGGGCAGGTTTCGGTTCTGCAGGATTTACTGTGTTTTTTTACTAGTCCCTTGAGACCCGCTTCCCGCACAGCACAAGCCAGGTACCAAAGACATACAGTTAGAATCAAAGAATTCTGAACCCAGGAATGCTGTTGGAGTATCGGAACTGAAAGTCACCTTCCGTACTGCCTGGCAAAAATCATTTACTGGCTATATCCTCCAGTTTTCTTCAGTTCAGCTGTGTAATAGGGTGGCGTGTGGTGTGGTAGGGAAACACATTTTGTTGCTATTGCTTAACACTGGGTTTCAGAATCTTTGCTGGTCAGTTTCATTTCTTCCAGAGATCTGCTGGTAAATGCTGTCCGTTCCTAGAATAGATTGCCTTTGTTAGTCCATTTCTTGGGGTTGTGTTTCAGCCCCAACATCTTTGGTTTGAAATACACTTCTGAGTGAGATAGCACAAAGAAAAGTTTGTTGTGACTCTGTGGGACAGAGCATGTGAATCACACTCAATTGAGCAACTGATGACGTAAGATACTGAAATGTGCTCGATTCATTTGGGCAGAACCTTGTCCATTGGCTTTGTGGAAAGTTGTGGATTGGGAGGATTACAAAACTGATTGTTGGAACAAAACTTTCACATGGACTTTCTGGGACGTTTTCCATCTCCAGGCACCTGGTCTTATGACTGGAAATATAGTCAATGACAGTGCTGGCTAGTCTGATGGGCTGCCCACCTGTGGCATAGGTGTCCTGAGGGTATACCCTGACAGGAAGGCCCTTTGGCCTGGCAGTGGCCTGCAGTTCATACTGTGGACTTAGGCCTCGTGTCACATTGTTTAGCTATTTAGGACCTCCTAAATCATGGGTCCTCAAACTAAGGCCCGGGGGGCCGGATCCGGCCCACCATGCCCGTTTGGACTCACCGCGCGGGTGCCCGTGTCCACGCACCCAGGGAGGCAGTGGTTTGCTCACTCGGAGAAAATGATCTCCAAGTGAGCAAGCTGCTGCCTTGTGCGCCCGCCCGCACCTCACCTCACCTCACCTCACCGGGTGCCCCGCTCAGCGCGCTCGCCCGCACACGCAGCCTGAGCCGGACCGCACACACCACCGGCATCTTTCAACTGGCCCCTGGTGGAAAAGTTTGAGGACCCCTGTCCTAAATAATCCTCCTGTGCTTATACCTTTTTCTTCTATCCCGGCAGAGCAAATTATTAGCAACTTTAGCCTTCAGCAGAACATTTTGCTACCTGTGAAATACATTTGGGTAGATAGAATCAAACAAACCAGGGTAGTTTGCTCAATCATTACATAGTTGTAATGCATCAGGAGACAGTAAAGGCTGTGGGAAAAAAAGATTTGTTCTACAGCTGCAGTCTTACTTGATCACTTCCTTATTAAAGAGACTAATGACTGAGGGCATGAAAGTGAAGGGTGGACCTGTTGTTGTGGTGTGGAATTTTTATTTTTTACAAAATTTGCTTACTTGATCATCTGTCTTTCCCAGCTGTGTTAAGGATGAACTTCAAAACATGCCTTCCACAAACTGCCTGCATTTATACAATAAGTTACAGGTGATAAGTCTTACATGAGCAGGGAAAGGATATTTGTAATAGGCATAAACAGATGCCTGAGTAGCCACCTGAGAAGGATGGTTTAACTCGGTGTCCTGTGCTGAGCAGGTGGTTGGACCCGATGGCCTTCTGGCCCCTTCCAGTTCTATGATTCTATGAAACCGTGATTCTGTGTCTTCTTTTCCTACAGGAAATTCAGGGTGGGTGAGTGTTTTAATTTTGTGTCACCTTGCATGCATATACAGGGCTGGGAGATTATTTAATTTTGCTGTAGGGGCTTACTTCCTACTTCATAAGACTACAGGATTGGTAACCATCTGTATTAACACAGAATAGAGCAGCCAAAGACACTTTGCTAGACAGGAAAAATGTGAAAGTTACCCTATAAAATATATTCTTAAAAATTCCACATTAAATTTATGACTTATTTACATTAGTCAAAAGGAATTATCATGTATCTGCTCCTGCTAAATTCTCATCCAGATAGGAACATTTATAACATATCTTCTTCAAGATGTTCTGGCTTTATTGCACCTTAAGAAGAAAATTTGTTCAGAAAAAATCACCAAGAATACTTTTACTTTTGTCCTTGTTTAAGTTTAGTACATAATTGGTATTTTTGAAAGTTGTTCTCCCCACAAAATACTCTCAGTAACGCTCTCAGCTGCTCTTCATGGGGCGCTGTGAAACACTGTTTAAGGTGTGTGGACAGGCCACACAAATCTTTTGTAAGACATATATTTAATTTGGAATTTTGACTGTAAGCACAGCCAACATAGAGCCAGGACTCCTAATTTTATATGTGTGCAGTCATTCAGATAACTACATAGATTCCTAAAATATATCACATGTTTTACTAAACAAGAGAAACCTATTGGTGAAATAAGGGAACTTTTCAGGTGGTGTGTAAATGAGGATGTAACGCAAGTGAAGTTTTTCTGGCATCATAGTGCTTAGAATACCTTATAATTTTAACGTAGTATAGTTTCTGTTGGTGTTACACTTTTTTGTTTACATTCAAACCGCCATTTCTTAGCTTGTGTACGTGTGTTGGTTCTCAGGTGCCATTTCATCACCAAAGTATTTTGTTTGTTGTATCCACAGCAACCATCTCAGATGCAGAATGCTTCTGCAGGAGTCGGTAATACTGCTTTTTATACTTGTCATGAGGTAGAACTCTCTGACACTTCTCGTTTCAGGAGGACTTCCCTAGAACTTGTCCACCTGCATTAGCCCTGGTGAACCATTTAAGAAGTCCCAAATTCACATTTAAGAAAAAATGCATTTGGAAGCAGTCTGTGTTTTGTGATGATGGGCAAACAAAATTTTGAATATATTTATCTGGTCATTTCCCCCTTTTTCACTAAACAAGCTGTATTCCTCATGGTAGTTGAGACATTTGAAAAATC